ATTATTCAATTAGTGGGATTAATGTGTGGGCCTACATTTCAGAAGTTCACTAGTAATGATTACAAAAAATTTAACCTTGAAAAACATCCCTATTTATTACCTGATCTTTATGTTATATTTACTTTCAAGATGTATAATAACACAGATTGACCCATTAGGAGTTTGTATAAATAAAAAATAAAATAATATTAAAGAATGTGAATTAATACTTATTACTAATTTATTTTATTTAAATAACAGAATATAATAAATCAGCATCGTTAATGAGGTACAAAGTCTTCCTGTACCCCTGGGGGTTACGCATACCCCACTTTGGGAAACAGTGCTCTAATAGAAACAAGAAAACTTTTAACACACACTGGATAAGACTAATCAGCAAAGCAGACCAAATCAACATAGAAACAAAGATGGAATATGTAAGGATATTATATATTAACATAGGGCCTACTATTAGTAACATTTTAAATTAAAGATAGCTACATAAGCATTTTAATTATGCAGAAATATTTTTTCTTTCCTGAAAAGCAAATATTATATGCATTAGAAAAAGTGGTGTTACTCCTTGATGTTACAAAGTTTAAACTGGGTTCAGAGTTCAAATGTGCTAGAACCGGTATCCAGTTAAAAGTTGGGGCTGAAAGAAGGTAAAATAATAAGCTTCATCGAGCAGTCATCTGTCCTGAAGAAATCTTGGAATGCATACATTTGTAATCATGCAAACTCAGTGCTAAAAAAAATTGGAAACTATATTTTCCTTCTTACTTACCCCATGAGCAGTTTCATGTTCAAATATATTTCTCTGAATTGTTGTACCATCAGGATATAAGACAGGGATAGATCTGGATTTAGAATCACATGCCTCTGAAATAAAACACACACAAAAAAAAGAAGCATTTTATATAAAAACATAATTTCTTAATCACAAGATACTAAAGATTATTTTAAATCTTTGAAAGAATTCTTAAATAGGTCTCAACAGCTAATGTCATAAAATGATTTACATACATTTCTAAATGTATAAATAATTTTATGTAGCCCATTACAAATAATATAGTTTACTAAAAATGTAGGCTTAAACACTGTAAAAAGAAAAGACAGAGAGTTTGTAGAGGTTATAGGCAGTCAGAAAAACCTATACGACTACTAAGTGGTAGATGCTTAAGGCTTTAATAAAGATTAAGGATAAGTGCAGTATTTCACATGATTATACATAAACCCAACTTTATAAGCATTCTATATCAATCTCTGCACACTGGATGTGCTTGAACCATGAAAACAAAATTATAAATCTTAATTAAGGCACTTTCTGTTTAATTGCATTGATTAGAATTTATTTAAGTCTAGGCCTACTTACCTGGTACATGTATTTCTCTTTTTTCATTGACCTTGCTTCTGTTATATTTTATGCATAAAGAGTTTCCCATGTTTTTTATATATTTTGTATTTAATTCAACATTGATTATCAATATATTTGTGCAAGAAAGCTGTGACGATACGTAAACGCTTGCATATAAAAGTTTCATTTGTGCTTAAACGCTTGAGAGAAAAGTTAGTTCCAGTTGACATATTAAACTCAACACCCTAATAATAGTTACAACTTATAGTGTCTCGCTTTATTAAATTAGAATAGTATGGTGAAAATGGTAGGAGGCGGAAAGCCAGTCCGAAATTCCCCCCTCCCAGGTCACCCCGCCCTTGGTATGGGCTGAGTCACCGGATCGCGTGATATGGAAGGGACAAAACTTTCCACTATGACTCATACCAAGAAGGCGGGTTAAGGGTCAGCAGGTCAGCTTTCCCCCACCTGTCCCGCGTGGACTGCCGTCGCTCTGCTACACCCACACACACACACACAAATAGGTGGGTGCGCACATCGGTTTGGGACGGCGGTAATTTTAGAAAATTTAGAAATTTAATAACTTTAATCCCATTGGATCATAGCACGAATATTATTTTAAAATTCAAATCCCACAAATCGATTGGGCCCGGCACCTCTGGCTATGCAAATGAGTTCGAGTCCCAGTCTCTATAAGAGGGGAATAGGGCTCCAACCCAGGCTTACACCCGCCAGACAGATTTCTATATTTAATAGGCGAGAGGCTGGAACTTAGTTCAAAGCCACCTATAATTTAAACAACCGTGCCTGGTTGTTATTGGTGGTGCAATATCACGCACACTAGACTCGCAGTCTTTTCACCACAAGATCTGCACTGTCTACACCTGTTAGATCGTCAGCTTCGACTGGATCAGCAGCGTCACCAAACCTGAGCCTACAACGTCTGAACTCACCCCCCTTTCTGTCAGCGAGAAGGAATCTCAGTAGTGCCCACTACAAATGGCCCTAAAGCCCAGTGCTCACTATCAATTGCCTACAGTCCAGTGCCCAGATACTTGCCCAGTGTTCAGCGCCTACTGGCCAGCTTAAACTGCCCAGTCCAGGCTCCAGCTGTCCACTGCCCAATATCCACTATCCCCTACCTAAGGTCCTGAGAATACCCTTCCCACCTTTCGCTACAGACATACTCCTGTTCAAATCAAGCATCATCACTCCACAAGAAGATTCAGCTCCAAGTCCTTCCCGCATCTACCAGACAAGCCCAGCGGCCAACCGACCAGCAAAGAAAGTTAAGAACACAAAATAGAAACACTTATCCACTCCTTCATATGCAATCAATGATGAAATTAATCCACCTGAATCATTGTTGACTCACTACCAAAGCTAGTAGTGATATTGTTGTTGTTAAATAAATTTGTATTTTTTTTTTATTCAACCTATAGTCAGTTCATTGTTCTGATTGTTGCTCGTAGTGTGCCTGTTCAATATTTACTTATGTGAGCGGGGAAACTCAAAATTACTTCCCCTAGAGTAACGAACCAAAATCATTTTAAAAATATTAAAACCTCACCACAAAAGCCTACATTAATTATAAATGTTATTTAGGAGCATTCTTGGTCATTTTAATTTGTTTTTTTTAAATGAGGAAATCTAGATCTGTTTCTTGAGTAAGGGTTAGGGATCTAGATCTAGAATCTATTCAGCTACTAGTAGCTACCAGATTACATCATCATGCAATATGCATACATTTAGGCTACATGTGCCTATGCCTACATGAGTACATCTAGATTTTTAATTCAAAACTTTAGATTATTTAGAAACCAGAACACTATAAACTGTAATTTGTTCCACTGAATGGCTAATATGCATTTCATATCAGCATTTACATTAAACAACTAGATCTGGATTTACACTGCCAAAAGTTAACTAAAAAAGATTTTCAAATAGTGTTACTTTTTAACTCTTTGTTCCCAACCACAAATACAAATGGAAATTCCCAATTAGTCATTTCCTATAATTTTCATTTGAGCTCCCCCCTCCCCCTTACTTTCCTGATGAAAGATGGGTTCGAAGATGAGAAAAAAAATTTTTAATATATATTTATAGCCATTTATATTTAGATCAAATTTCTTGATATTGGATGTATGCTATTGCTATGTTATCTTACTAGGAATCACATTAATATCAATATGAAAATTAGCCTACAGAGTAGAATAGCAGCACACAATGATTTCATCCACAACATGCAAATCTTCAAAGATTATTACTTCATCAGTTTGATAAAAAAAAAAAAGAATGGTTGACACTGTGGTACCATAGTGAATTTTATTCCAGCTCATGATGTTCAATCCTTGCTTTCTCAGACTAGGACAAAATATTCTTTTCTTAAGAAAAAGAAAAAAAAAATTCCATCATCTACTCAAACTCCACTGGTAGAAAAAAAAATGTTTTAAGTTACCTGTATGATTGTGTCATATCTGTTTTTGTTTTTTTTTCTATCTTATAAGTCTTTAGCACAGAATGGGGGCGTGGTGGCTGATTGGCTAAGTGCTTGGCTTCCAAACCTGGGGTACTGGATTTGAATCTAAGGTGAAAATTGAATTTTGGGATTTTTAGGGCGCCCCTGAGTCCATCCAAGCTGACTTAAGTTACGGAAAGTAAGGGCAGTTGGTCATTGTGCTGGCCACATGACACCATGCTCATTAATTCTTGGCCAAAGAAACAGATGGCCTTAACATCATCTGCCCTATAGGTCATAAGGTCTGAAAGGGGAACATTTTAGCACAGAATAAGAAAAAAGGACACAGCTTTCTTTTTCTTTATAAAAAAAAGGTATTAAAGCTTATTCTTATTCAGATAGTGTTATGTACATAAATCTGTGTTTGGACTTTAAGCTAAATATGATATGATATAGAATCTTTAATAATTGAACATAAACATATTTGGTGTACAATGCAAATGGTTTTCAAAAGAAAATGCTTATCTTAACAAATAGGGTGTTTGCTTTTCTGTCTTGAAGCGTGAATGTTATTGAGTTGTCTGTTCACAAATGCACTGGACAGTTTGTTTTTTACTTAAAACATCTTTTATTTTTTTCTTAAATGTTACACACTTTTAAATAAGTAAAAAAAACTAAAAAAATTCCATTTTAAGTTCCTGAAGGGAGACAGGGAAGGCTAGGGGGAGGGCCTCAATTCAGTCCCTGATACTCTCGCTTGACAATTTGAAGCATACCTCACATGAGCCATACTTTATTTAGTTAGTTTTCATAAAGGTTTTTGCAATTACAATGTTCCCATCAAATATTCTGGAGCCACACATTACAAATGGTAATGTTTCATTTCAAGACCTAAAAGTCTATGGAAAAGTTTTCCAATTAATGTTGGCAATTCAAGATGATGTTTTCAACATTTGTTTTATTCAAGTACGAAAACGTAAAATAGAATTTTTAGTTTTTCCAGTAGCTTAATAAGGCAGAAATGCTCCATCCACAGCTAATGCCAAGGCTTTCATCTTATTGCAATGAGATGAACCAAAGTTGCTCAACCAATAAAGGAGGCTAACAACTACCGGGTAATAAAGTAAAATGATTTAAATCCTAAAAACAAATTATTTAAAATCATTTAATGTTTTTCATTACTTTTATTTTAAAAAATTGAAATACCAACAAATTAAAAAACTAAAATTGCAATTTAGAAATAAATAAAGTATTTTTTAAAAAGTATAAGTTTTACACATCTTAAATTTAACAATTAAACACATTGATCATTTTCACCTATTCATGTCTCTACGATCTTGAACTGTTGAAACTAACTTTTTTTTAATTAGGAGGGTTGAGAACAAACTACAAGAACTACTGGGCAAATAAAGCTAAAACATAGAGACACAATCATTTAACCAAAATAAACAAAAACATTTTTTTTTCTTTTTTGTCTTGTATTCAACAACTTGTGGTTTTCAGTGCAATGTTAATGCTACATCAACAAATGAAAAAACAACAACCCATAAACAAAATCAATAAAAATTTATAGTCACAGTCTTCCCTTACCACATTCAATTTTTAACCAATGCTCAAAGTTTATTAATCATGACATTGTTAATATACTAAATGAGGGTGTTTTTTTTTTATACTGGTATACAACAATGCTTATGAAAAAAAAAAAGATAAAATCTAAATGCAATGTTTACTTATAATTCAATAAATACATTTTTTCAATTATTTCTATTTAAATATTGGCTAAATGAATATACACTTCCTTTATTTTTTTAAATACTCATACTTGTACTAGTACTGGTACTAGAACGTGGTAGTTGTGTGGTTAAGTGCTTTGCTTCCTAACCTGGGTTCCTGGGTTCGAATCTCCGTGAAGACTGGAATTAAAGTTTGGAATTTTTATGGCGCCCCTGAGTCCACCCAACTCTAATGGGTGCCTGACTTAAGTTGGGGAAAGTAAAGGCAGTTGATCATTGTGCTGGCCACATAACACCATGCTCATAAATCAAAGGCCATAGAAACAGATGACTTTAACATCATCTGCCCCATAGATTGCAAGGTATGAAAGGGAAACTTTACTTTACTGGTATGTCACTCAACATTGTAAATACTTTATAAAAACAATCTTATATTTTCTTTCAAACAACTGCAGAAATGAGTGTGTTTGTACTAGAAGGAAATGAGAAGGCTTACACACTCAGCAAGTGTGGGAGAACAAACACACAAACATTGCACTCTATCCAGAAGAAATGAAGAAACTAATAGTAAATAAAATAAATAAGAAATGGACAAGCTCTCATCCATATCACAAGAAAGATGATGACTAATATAAGCTATCCCAACAAAATCAATGTCTAATCTTTTAACTCAGGACCGGACAAAACAGAATCAGACAACATATGTAACGGAAGCTCAAAATTGGAACCAGTAAAATCTGCCCATGTGGAGTATCACCAGAGAATGCTGACCATGTCCTTCAAAAAATGCTTGCTTTACCAAGAGGCCCGTACAAGACACTGGCCCCAAAACACCCCAATAGAAAGAAAACTATATGGAGAGCTCCCTGATTTGGAAACCACTGCGCAGTTCATCTCATATATTGGTCTAGTCATTTGAACGCTGCAACATGAAAATGAGAACAAGGAAGAAGAATTGTGTTTGTGTGTCTCATGAGCTTATAAAAACAAAACGTCATGTATGTCTTGGTATAAGAGCATCACAATGGATAAGATGCAACAAAACAAACCAATAACGGCTCCTACCAAAAACAAAACAACATCAAGCCTTTCAAATATTTCAATATATGTCTGTGAGTTCAAAGAGTAGTCAGTGGTTGTATGTATAATTTTTTTTTCCAAAGGGAACATGAGTGATACAAGAAATCACAGAATGATGTATACATATTACATATATAAAGGCAGCACAAGAGAAATTCGGTCCCTAGTGCTTCATATGTCATATGTATTCATTGTTTCAGCAACTAGCTTCGCAATGGTATTTACATTTATGGCTAGAAATCACAGACAAAAATGTGCGAGTGAGTATATTTTAGGAAGGGGAGAATTATAAAGAGGACTACTCCTATTGAACATGATGTAGTATTGAATTTGTTCAAAACATAAACCGTAATAAGGCAAATGTTCAACAATTATGTATATATGAAAAAAATAATTAAATTAATAAATTTATTTCATATTAATTATCTATACAATTATAGACATTTAGAAATAGCATTATAGTGTTTTAATCTCAACAGGTAGAATAAAGCTTTAAATGGATTTCTTATAAATTCCTTAAACAAAGTTAATGGAATTTTTATGTTATTAAATCTAAAGAGTATTAATACAAACTTTTGTGCATTACTTCCAATACAAAGTTAGTTGAGTGACAGTTCAAGTCTTCATTTTAACTACTGGTTTCAAAGCTTTACTGGCAGAGGCTTCATTATCTAAAGATCTGTTAGCAAAAAAAAAAGAAAAGAAAAAAATAATCAAGGCTAAGGTGTTTTAATGCTTTTTGTAAAATTGTAATTCTTTGTATAAACGTATGTGCCTTTAATGCTAAAATAATCTTGCTTTGCAATTGCTAAAAATTACAAATTCCCTTTAGAAAAGTATTTTCATTGTTTTCTTAGACATCTTTGAAACAATTCAGACAAAATAGTATGAACACAAGGATTGCTTGTTGGGCAATCTGTGTTTTTAATGTCATCACATACTTTGGGGCTATGATTGTTGCATCTCTGGTGCCCATTCTCACATAATCTGTATGCTTTGACCACAGTGACATCATAGAGAAGACAGTCTGTAGTTAGGCACAAGGCATGATAAAGTGTGTGAGATTGACCACACAATAGCCTGGGACTGCAGTCAGGGATCCTTCTAACATTGCATGTTTGGTAAATAGGCACAATACAATATGTGATCTACAGATTTTGCCACATCCAGAGCAGACATAACTGTTGACTGCAGGTGGTCGGCTTAGATTCTTTTTTCAAAGTCTATGTCTGTCCTAGGCAGTAGATTTCCTACTCTCCTATCTTTGGATTTGATGACAAGCTTTATATTTACATTTTTTTAAACTAGGGATGCACCAGATAGTAGTTCTCTCTCTGGTCAGATATCCTGCCATTTTTCACTATCTGGCCATATTCGGCTCTGGTCGAGTATCACTGCAGGATAGTTTGCTGGATAGCAAAAAGTACACAGAAGTAGGCCAACCTACATTTCTATTAATATGCATAAAGTAAACATGGTTTCATTAATGTCTGTTAAAGAACATATTAAGGTTTATATTTCATATAAAATAATGAGCTTAAATATAAATGAATATGTACCAAACATCATTCATTACAAAGACAAGGCTTGTTAATATAAATAGACATTAAGCTTTACATTATAAATGCACATTACATACATAGCAGCAATGGCTGGTACATTTGTTTACTTTGTTTGTCTTGACATTTGAGTGGGTCATTTAACATGTTGACTATGTCACACTGACCAGAGATAGCTGTGGGTATATCTCCAGAGATATAGATTAAAAGCTCCCACCCTCTTTTATTAGTTTAGCCCATCACATTGAGTTCATAGATAGACAGGTGGCCACATTAAGTCAGCTGGGGGTGGACATAATATCAACAAGTTGACACTGTCTTGACGTCACAACTTATGAGGGAACAGAGTTTGTTTACTTGGTGATAAATCATGCAGATCTTCATGCCACATCACTACATGGATAACCGGGTAATGAGTTTGATTACATGGAAATAAATCTGACCTAGGGGAGCTGGACTACATCCCACACCTCTACACTGGTGCAAAGTTTGCTTACTAGGAGATAAATCTCAAGAGGCTGGACTATAGAATCAAAACCTACACAAGGGACCATTTGCTACATAAACCACAAAAGCATATTACTATATTTTATAGCCAAGTAAGCCAGTAACTAATTTTTATGTGGATAAAAGTACAAGGCTAAAATATGTGTATATTAACATATAAGACACTGAACAGGACTAGCTTTAAAGGGAGAACTAAACAATTCCTAATCATTATTTGTTTGTCCTTGACACGGAATTTAGATCATAGACATAGATCATAGACCATTTTAAAGCCAGAATGGATTAACATATCATGCAAAGGCAACATAATGACACTGTAAATAAATATTACTGTTGAATTACTTTTCTTAGCATGTTAACTTCAAACCCTCCTCCTGCATTGAGTGTCTTGATTTAAAAATGATATTCTTAATAATCTGGGAGAATCAAGTAACTCCTCATTACTATTGTTCTTACTTATGATAAGTACCAAGTCGCTATGTATCAGACCCTAAACGCCAGGACAGGAAGCGGTTTGTGGCCTTTAAAACACTGTCCTGATGTCCTGTTGATGGACTGAAATACATGAACACATACATCTACCCACTATACAACCCAGATTGCACTTTACCTTTAAGAGCTTAAAAATTAGAACAATATACATGTATATAATATATTCTACATCGACAAACAAGTTAATAATTTTTTTCTGATGTTAAATTCATCAATGAGTGATATGAGTTTAAAACATAAGATGAAAAAAAAACTAGAATAAAATTTAACATAGATATGCTATTAAGAAGTTTTTCAAAATTTTCAGTATATAACTATTTACTAGATATGTAGGTATGGTATTTGGCTCCTACAGGATATCTTATTTCACTATACAGCCATATCTGGCTTAAGCCAGATATCAAAAATGTTATCAGTTGCACCTTTACTTTTGACAAAGCAGAGGTCACAGCAGATAAGAGTGTTGAGAGCCAGACCTCTCTGTAGAGTTGCTTTCAATCAATCCATCCTTTACTTACCTTAACCTTAAATGTATTCAGAATATCTGTGAGTTTATGTTCACAGCTGATTGATTTGGCATTGCAGCCAAACCTTTTTATTTTCGAAAGGTGTAAAATTTGTTTTATGGTATGGCAGCATCAAACCTCCTGATGCCATTGTTAATTATATGATCTTGTAAAAAACATTTGCCTTCTTCTTGGGCATTTCATTCCCTATTTTGTTTTGTATTAATGTTTTTGTTCAGGGCCCTAGTCTGAAACTGGTATAATAACCTTTTTCTGATAAAAAAAAAACAATTTAATTTTTTTTTTCTTAATTAGACATTAAATCAAACCAAATAAAAGCAAATAAATGATGCTAACCTTATTCGTATGTATTCGTAATCATCCAGCAAACCATTAAACTCAGCTTCATCAGGTAATTTGGTTTCTACTAATTCACCATAACTGTCTTTGCACATGTATACAGCTATGTCTTTTAGACATGGATAGTTCACTCCAAGGCATTTCTCTTTGAACTAAAACATAAAAAAAAGCATTGAATAACACAGCACTTAGTTAAAGCATCAGATACAAACTGAAACAAACATAATTTTAACAAGAATCTCAACTCAAGAAAACATTAACTGGAACAGACACAAAATAAAGCAGTGAGATTCATAACAAATGAATATTCACATTTGACTAGAGTAACACCTTTAGTACAATCACTAAATTTAGAAAGCCTTAAAAGCACAGTAGCAATTATACATAAACACACTGAACCTCAATCTTCAAATACAAAAACAAAACCTAATAAATACTCAGAAAGACACAAAATAAAGGCACATTCGTTGTTCCATACACTAGGACAAATTTGTATAAATGCTCCTTCTTTCCTAGTACTATTAGAGCATGGAATGGGTTGCACGAGTCAGCCAGGAAAACCATTGATTTGGCAGAATTTAAGTCATTGGTTAACATGCATAACTACATTGACCTAGGAACACGCTTAGGAAGTAATCATCTTCTTTTTTGAAGTAACATCTGTATTTTATAATTATAAGATATGATAAGTTTTAGTTTAAAATTATTTTACAATTAAAAAAAAGTTCCCCTTTCAGACCTTGTGGTCTATAGGGCAGATGATGTAAAGGTCATCTGTTTCTATGGCCTACAGTTAGCAAGAGTGTCATGTGGCCAGCACAACATCCAACCTCTTTTACTTTCCCCCACTAATGTCAGGTACCCATTAAAGCTGGGTGGCACCCGAATATCGTTAAATAAAAAATCCCAGTCTTCACAAGGATATGAACCCAGGACCCCCGGTTCAGAAGTCAAGCCCTTTACTGCTCAGTCACAGCGCCTCCGTTATTTTACAATACTTAATTTTTTTCTGAAAATTTTGTAAGA